GAAAATGTAAACAATTCAAAATACAGTAATCATAAACAAAAAACATACAAACAACAATACATGAAGCGATGAACAGTAAGACGAAGAATTGTATGTATGTATCATCCCAACATTACATTATTGTTGTCCGAAGAAATGTTGCTATCGGACCGTCGATTCGTTTTTTCCTGAACACCTGACACCTACACTATTGATTGTTGCTGTGGGTGAGAACTATATTGCGATACACATGAGCGCAATTATCGGTGTCTGTTTTAAAATTCATCCTTTTATTATTAGGGGTGTTCATGATATGTAGCATCTCCAAAACATATCGCTTATTATAATTTTTCTCTTCTTGCAAGATAGCTACATTTTCAAAGTCAGGATAATGTCCCATTTCCTGACAGTGAGATGACAAGGCCGTCTTATTGTCCGACGAATTGCTCCTTAACTTAATATTAGACTTGTGAGCGGAAATCCTTGTCTTTAGTTTAGATTTTGTTGTCCCCACATAAACCATATTGCATACGTGGGACCCGTCGCCATTGCATGGTATTTTGTAGACTACGTCAGATTTCTCATTTCTGGGAATTTTGTCTTTGGTATTGCTATATATCTGCTGTAATGTGTTCTCATAAGTGAATGCTATTTGAAAGTTCTCCTTGTCATACATTTTGGAATGTTTATACCTCTCCGATAATCCCGGAATATAGGTCGCCGATTTATAAACTTTATTATTTAACTCTTTATTTTTTCCCCCCTTATTGTTTCTTACGTAGTAGTTACGTATGAGCTTATTAATCATACCCCGAGGAAATTCGTTTCGTCCTAGGATTTCTTTAATTATGGTAATATTCGTGTGATAAATTTGGTCACTTATGGAGAGAACTCTTCTTATAAAATTGCTAGCCGTATTTAGAATTGCTTTCTTCTCATGTTTGGAGTTGAAATTTATGAGCCTCCCTGATGCTGTCGGTTTTTTATACCAGTCGAATGTTATTCTATTGTTCTTTCTAATTATTAGGGTGTCCAGATAAGGCAATTGTCCATCTTTTTCTATTTCGATTGTAAATTTTATTGTTTTATTATAGTTGTTTAGAGTGTTAAGCATCTTGTCCATAGTTTCTGTTTTGATAATTGCTAATAAGTCATCTACATATTTAGTTAATAATCGTTGTTTATTGTCAGAGTCTTTCTCGAAATTCGTCAATAGTTCCTCCATAACTATGTCTGCTATCACGGGTGATGCTGGTGAACCCATAGGCATTCCCGACCTGTGCTCATAAATCTTGTCATTATACTTAAAATAGCGATTTTCTTTTATACAAAATTTGAGTATGGTTAAAAATAGATCCTTAGTTAACGGTGTGTGCTTCTGTATAGAACTCCATTTTGAGTCTATGATCTCTATGGCAAAATCTACGGGTATACTCGGAAACAACGAAACAACATCAAATGACACTCATCACAACATCATCGTCATAAATATAAGTACTTCCAATCTTTTCTCTGAATTCCATAGCGTCCTTTACATTATATTTTGAGGATTTTGTTAGATTTTTAAGTATACGGACAACATATTTACATAAATTATAACACGGTGAGTTAATGGACGAACATATAGGTCTCAAAGGGATTCCTTCTTTATGGATTTTGGGTAATCCGTAAATTCTTGGGGGGTTCGCGGTTTTGCTAGAAAGTAAGTGCTTTTCCCGTATATCAATAATTTTGTTTTTGTACATTCGCTCTACAATTTCGTTATTTTTGTCTTGTAGTTTATTCGTCGGGTCGCGCTTTAAAACCCGGTAGGTGGAGATGTCATTAACAATCTTTTGCATGTTCATATGATATTCAGATTTTTCCATGATAACAGTAACGTTCCCTTTGTCGGCATTGAGAATCAAAAATTGCTTGTTGGTTTTTAAGAATATCTTAGCAGAATGGAGCGTGTCGCGAATAAACCTATCTCTCATTGTATTTTTCGTCCTATTGAGATGGTCACGTATTAACATCGTTAAATTGTTTCTTCCAATTTCTTGTTTTTCCCTATCCTTAATTGTCTGTATGCAATTTTCCCCATCTGCAATAATTTTTAATAATGGAAATTCTTTCTTGGTCGTTGGCAGGGCAAATTTTGGACCTAATGACAGGAGCCACTGAACCTCCTCTGGGATTTCAGAAGTTGTAGTGTTGTAAAACCACTCTGGTACACCCCTAATATTTAGTAGTTGTTTTTGTTTGTCTCTTAGTTTTTCGTATTTGCTAGTTTGTGTTTTCTTAATATTTGTCATGAGGTTATTGTTTATTGCGTCTTCACTTTCAAAAAATACATCGGAGTCACGTCTGTTGAGTTGTTGTTTAATCTGCGCCTTCAGTATATTTACCTTGTTACTTTTTTGTCGGATTAGTTCGTGTTTGATACTAATTAGTAGATTCAAGAGTTTTCTTTGAACCTTTTGGACGTAAGCTGACACTGAGTTGGTGATTTTTGTTGGCATCTTATTATTGCTGGTGTTGTTGCTAATTATGTAGATAATGTTTTTAGTAGCGTTGTTAATAAAATTGGGAGTTAAGCCGCTCCTTCTGCACCTTTCCAGGAATTTGGTTGATTCTGCCATTCTAGTAATTTGTTTTGTTGTATTTTGAAAGCTTTTGATATGTTTTCTGGTTTTGACGTCATAATTGTGCTTGATGTTTGTGTAGACCTTATGCGTGTGTTGGTCACTTCGGTGTGCTCTCCGTTTGAACATGGTTAGGTTTTGTTTTCTGGCCGTTTATTGTAATATTTTGATTGTTTTTTTGAGCTCTAGGCCTAGGGTAAATAAAACGATTGGATGTCTTATCTTCATTTTTGTTTATTACTGTCGATATTTCGCCTTTAATCTAAAGGCATCTTCAGGACTGCAAAAGCACAATATGAATACATATACAAATAATTATTTACACAACGTACAACAAAACATAACTTACAATCTTGGCTTTGCCTGGTCGACTAAACATATGCGCGAAAATGCATTAACAAACAAACTTGGTGACAATAAGTATAAGCATGAAAATGTAAACAATTCAAAATACAGTAATCATAAACAAAAAACATA